GACGCACTACCGAGCGGAGCAGAGGAAAGTCGGTCACTGCTGAAGGGCTCAGGGCTGCAGGCAGCACGTCCCTCCACAGCACCCGGGTCTTTTCCACCAAGGGCTTGTGGCGAGCTCAGCTCCCGCACAGAGAGGGGAGCAGCCACGCGATTTTGGTAGTAACTACTGTGCGTTGGAAGAGTGCAAGAGCCTCACAACGAGGACCAGTCCCCAGAGTCACGTCACACCAAGGAAAAGGGCTCCCCGTGGTCAGTGTCCTGCTGCCTCCCCGGCTATCATAGCCATGCAGTCACTCCAAGCAGTGGCTTTTTGGTGGCCATGCAAATCAGATGGGATCTCATTGCCCAGCTGAGGGGCCAAAGGGAGAATGCCCTCCACATGGCTGGAGAAGGTGACTCATAGCACCCTTTGCTTGTGACTGGCCTCCTTCCCCCATCTGCAAGATGCAAAACCTCCCTTGCCTCTCCCAAACCTCCTGTTCCCTCCTGCTAGCTTAGCACCTGGCTCCTGGCGCGGATGCCAGCCGGCTGCTGCCCAAATCCGGGCTTGGAGACGCCGGGCACTGCTCAGCTGGGTTTGTGTTTTATCCTGTGCATTTGCATGGGGAGGATTTGGGGGAAAACCCAGATGTACAACTGAGTGCTAATCCCCGCTCCAGGGGTAGCGGGGGGAGCACCGGCTCCAAGCTGCTCCCAGCTCAGCTCCCGTGGCTTTAGCCTGCACAGACAGGAGAGGCTCCCAGGGGGTCCCCTCCCTGCCCCAGAGTTTGGGGTGAGTTGTGCCACAGACAAGAGTCCCCCACTGCCATCCGGCTGGGCCAGGTCCGCTTGGTGGCAGCAGATGAGTTGTCATGGAAATGGCATCTGCTCAGCGCACCGGCTCCAAGCTGCTCCCAGCTCAGCTCCCGTGGCTTTAGCCTGCACAGACAGGAGAGGCTCCCAGGGGGTCCCCTCCCTGCCCCAGAGTTTGGGGTGAGTTGTGCCACAGACAAGAGTCCCCCACTGCCATCCGGCTGGGCCAGGTCCGCTTGGTGGCAGCAGATGAGTTGTCATGGAAATGGCATCTGCTCAGCCTTGGCCCCCCGGGAGGCAGCTGGACCTCGGCAGCATCCACCAGCTACCA